AAGAATGTTGTTTTGCCCATGCAGTATGATACTGCTTGTGAGTTTGTCATATATGGTTATTATTGTGCAGTATGCTCCTTTATACCTAGTTTATTGACAGTTTTTAACATTAAGGGATGTTGAATTTTACCAAAGGCCTTTTCCATGTCTATTGAGATAATTTTGTGTTTTTTGTCTTTAGTACAGTTTATGGGATGAATTACATTCATTGATTCACATATGTTGAAACAAACTTGCGCCCTAGGGATGAGGCCAACTTGATAGTGAATAAAGTTTTTGATGTGCTGCTGGATTCGGTTTGCCAGTATTTTATTGAGGAGTTTTGTATTGATGTTCATCAAGGATATTGGCCTGAAGTTTTCTTTGTTGTATCTCTGCTAGGTTTGGGTATCAGGATAATGCTGGCCTCATAGAATGAATTAAGGAGGAGTTCCTCCTTTTCATGTGTTTGGAATAGTTTCAGTGGAAATGGTACCATTTCTTCTTTGTACTTCTGGTAGAATTCTGGTAGAATGTCTTCTTTGTACTTCTTGTCCTTGGAATTTTTTGGTTTGGAGGCAATTTATTACTGCCTCATTTTCATAATTCGTTATTAGTATATTTAGGGATTCAGTTTCTTCCTTGCTCAGTCTTGGGAGAGTGTACGCATTCAGGAGTTTATCGGTTTCTTCCAGATTTTCTAGTTTGTGTGAACACAGTTGTTCATAGTATTCTCTAATGGTTGTTTGTATTTCTGTGGTTTCCCTTATCACTTCTGATTGTGTCTGATTCTTCTCTGTTTTCTTCTTTATTAGTCTAGCTAGAGCCTATTTTATTAATTTAAAAAAAGAACAACTCCTGGATTCATTGATTTTTTGAAGGTTTTTTGTGTCTCTATATTCATCACTTCCACTCTGATCCTAGTTATGTCTTGTTTTTTGCTAGCTTTGTTTGCTTGCTCTTGGTTCTCTGATTCTTTTAGTTGTGATGTTATGTTGTTGATTTGAGATCTTTCTAGCTTTTTGATGTGGGCATTTAGTGCTATAAATTTCCCTCTTAACACTGTCTTAGCTGTCTCTGAGAGATTCTGCTACGTTGTCTCTTTGTTCTCATTATTCTCAAAGAATTTCTTGATTGCTGCATTAACTTTGTTATTCACCCAGGAGTCATTCAGGGGCAAGTTGTTCAATTTCCATGTAGTTGTGTGGTTTTGAGTGAGTTTCTTAATCTTGAGTTCTAATTTGATTGCACTGTGGTCTGAGAGACTATATGATTTCAGTTCTTTTGCATTTGCTGACGAATGTTTTGCTTCTGATTATGTGATCAATTTTAGAGTAAGTGCCATATGGTGATGAGAAGAATGTATATTCTATTGTTTTTGGATGGAGAGTTCTATAGATATCTCTCAGGTTCACTTGATGCAGAGCAGAGTTCAGGTCCTGATATCTTTGTTAATATTCTGTCTCAATGATCTGTCTAATATTGTCAATGGGGTGTCAAAGTAGCCCAGTATTATTATACGAGATCCTGAGTCTTCTTTGTAGGTCTCTAAAAACTTGCTTTATGAATCTGGGTGCTCCTGTATTTGGTGTATATGTAATTAGGATTGTTAGCTCTTTTCGTTGAACTAAACCCTTTATTATTATGTAACACCCTTCTTTGTCTTTTTTTGATCTTTGTTGGTTTAAACTCTGTTTTGCCAAAAACTAGGGTTGCAAACCCTACTTTTTTTGTTTTCCATTTGCTTGGTACATTTTCCTTCATCTCTTTATTTTGACCCTATGTGTGTCTTTGCACATGAGATGGGTCTCTTGAAGATAGTATACCGATTGGTCTTTATCCATCTTGCCATTCTGTGTCTTTTAATTGGGGCATTTAGCCTATTTACATTTAAGGTTAATATTGTTATGTGGAATTTAATCCTCTCATCATGATACTAGCTCATTATTTTGCAGACTTGTTCATGTGGTTGCTTCACAGTGTCTTTAGTGAGTGTATTTTTGTAGTGACTGGTAATAGTTTTTCCTTCCCATATTTAGTGCTTCCTTCAGGGGCTCTTGCAAGGCAGGTCTGGTGGTGATTAATTCTCTCAGCATTTGCTTTTCTGAAAAGGATCTTTTTTTTCTTTGCTTATGAAGCTTGGTTTGGCTAGGTATGAAATCCAGGGTTAGAAATCGCTTTCTTTTAGAATGTTAAATGTTGGCCCCAATCTTTTCTGGCTTGTAGGGCTCCACTGAGAGGTCCACTGTTAATCTAACGGACTTCCCTTATAGGTGAGTTGGCCTTTCTTTCTGCCTGCACTTTACCTTTCAACCTTGGAGAATCTGATGATTATGTGTCTTGGGGTTGGTCTTCTCATGGAGTATATTACTGGGGTTCTCTGGATTTCCTGAGTTTGAATGTTGACCTGTCTTGCTACGTTGGGGAAGTTCTCCTGGATGATATCTTGAAACATGTTTTCAAACTTAGTTTCATTTTCCTGGTCTCTTTCAGGTACCACAATCATAGGTCTTTTTACATAATCCCATATTTCTTGGAGGTTTCATTTGTTCCTTTTTATTCTTTTTTCTCAATTCTTGTCCTGCCTGTCATATTTCAGAAAGGTAGCCTTCAAGCTCTGAGATTCTTTTCTCTGTTTGGTCTACTCTGCTATTGATACTTGTGATTATTGCATTGTGAATTTCTTGTATTGTGTTTTTCAGCTCCATGAGGTCAGTTATGGTCCTTTCTAAACTGACTATTCTGGTTATCAGCTCCTTTGTTATTTTATCATGATTCTTAGCTTCTTTGCATTGGATTAAAACATGTTCCTTTAACTAAATGATGTTCATTATCACCCACCTTCTGAAGCCTACTTCTGTCAATTCAGCCATCTCAGCCTCAGACCAGTTCTGTGCCCTTACTAGAGAGGTGTTGCAGTAATTTGGAGAAGAAGCACTGTGGCTTTTTGAGTTTTCAGCATTTTTGTGTTGATTTTTTCTCATCTTTGTGGGCTTATCTACCTTCAATCTTTCAAGTTGCTGACCTTTGTACAGGGTTTTTGTGGGGTCTTTTTTGTTGATGTTAATATTGCTTTCTGTTTGTTTTTCATTTAATAGTCAGGCCACTTTTCTATAGGGGTGCTGCAGTTTTTCCCTTACCAGGAGGTATCACCAGTGAAAGCTGCAAAACAGAAAAGATGGCAGCCTGCCCCTTCCTCTGGGAGCCCTGTCCCGGGGGGCATTGACCCGTTCCAGCCTGAATACTGCTGTAGGAGGTGTCTGGAGACTCCTGTTGAGGTCTCACCCAGTCAAGAGGAATGGGTTCAGGTGCCTGCTTAAGGAAGCAGTCTGGCTGCCCATTGGCAGAGCAATGCACTTCAATGGGGGAAAGTCTCGTGTACAGACCACCCAGATGCTCTAGAGCCAGAAGGCTGGGAGTTTAATTTCCTAATATGATATTAAGTAGTAGCTATGAACATGGTCTCAGACTTAGGTTCTAGTCTGGTTCTATATCCACTTTTTAACTGGATGTATCTTGGGCATGTACCTTAACTATGCTTAATAGTTCTCATTTATGAAATGGAAATTATAATGGTAACTATAGTCATGTATTATATAATGACATTTTGAGTAAGAATGGGCCATATATACTGTGGTGGTCCCATAAGATTATAGTATTATATTATTACTATACCTCTTCTATGTTTCAAATACTAGATAAACAAATATTAGATAAACAAATACTAACATTGTATTACAACTGCCTATAGTGTTCAGTATAGTAACATGCTGTATGGGTTTGTTACCTAGGAGCAATAAAGTATACATAGAACGTAAGTGTGTAGTAGGCTATAATGTTGTGGCTTTTTACTCTCTCGTAGTTTGGTGGTTAGGGGTGTTACAGCTCCTTTCCTCTTGCCAGCCACAGCTCAGTGAGCAGGAACATCACAGCTCTTTTGGTCCCACAATTCAGTGAGTTACAGGTTCTTGTCCTGTGCCAATAGGAATAAGGTATGTGGACACTGGAGAGGGGTCAGACAGAGTAGAATTTATTGAGTGAAAGAAAAGCTCTCCACAGCAAGAGAGGACCCCAAAGAGGGTAGCCATCTATGAGGTTGAGTCCAGGGTTTTATGAACTTAGAACGGGGGAATGCATGCTGATTGGTTTATGGGTGGGTTTAGAAAGGGGACCATTTGATTGGTTTAAAAGTATCATTCAGAAAAAATCAATAGAGAGAGAGTGGGTACGATAGGAATGAAAGTTCTCACTCTGGTCCGTGAATTCCGTCTAGAACTGGTAGCTTGGTTTTTAGGTTTAGATTGTTCTTGGCTTGAAGGTTGAGTTTCACCGGAGACCTGTCCCTGTCTGCCTTGTCTGTTTCCTGTTGCTGTCAATATCATCTAGGTTTGTGTAAGTATACTCTATGACGTTCGCACAACAACACAATTACTTAAAAGAGCATTTCTCAGAATGTATATCTTCATTGTTAGATGGTGCATAACTGTGTATTATAAAGTTGTGTCAGAATTAAGTGAGCTAATCAATGTAAACATCATCAAAGTTCTTGGCATATAGTAAAAGTTCAATAAATTTTAACTGTTACTATTAGAGCATAGACGAATTCCTTTCTACAGTTCAACTGTGGAATAAATACTCCTTTTCAGTAATCAACTTAATTTTAGACTCTGTGACCTGATTTTACTTCACTGAAATTTAACTTCAAGTAGGAAATTTAACTTCATCTAATTGTGGGGTTTCTCTGTACCTCTGAGTTTTGCTGTGATGCCAAGATCCCAGAATTTTTGGTGGTATCAAAAATGACATAGAGAAGATTATCTGGTTACCCATCATCTGTCCATACCAGCTAACAACGAGGCACCCATTGTCCCATCCTGTAGTGTTCCTTCATATCCTTTGTTGTGTTGTGACCTGTTTCAGGCAGAAGAATCTTTGGCAAGTCTGGGATCCCCAGGCTTCATTCACTTTCTGATGAACACTAGGGTAAATATTTATTCCAACCTCTGGGTACTGCCTCTAACCTGCGATGCCTGTAGTCCTCTCTCCCTTCTTCTTCAATCTCGGAAACTTCCTAAAACAAACAAAGAAACAAAATCTGTTAACAGCTTGAATGAAGAAACAGAAAAAAAATTCCAGGGAGAAAGGATATATTTAACATTTCTAGAAAGTCTTTCAATAATATTTAAAATATACTCAAATATATTCTAAAGGTATTTAAAATATACTTCAGAGGAACTGTACCCTTTGACCATATCCTCACCGACTTCACACACCTATTCTCTCTTTATAGTTAGATACTTAGTGATATATTTTCCCATGGCATAATAAAAGATATTAAAAACTCATCTATGAGAGAATATTATGTGATTCTTCTGTTACTGTCCTTCCCTTATCTCTTATTGTATTCTGTCTCCCACTCCACCCACCTCATATTGAGGAGGAATTAGGTGGAATCATCATTTTTACAAATAGACATTAAATTCAGTACTTTCTCATTTTCTTCTTTTCATGGCAGAGTCCCAATAGTACCCATGTGAAACAGGCAGACTTCATATCAGGTGCAGAAAACAAGAGAGAGTGGTGCTTGATGGAAGAAAAAATACCAGTTACACTACCCAACTGGAAACCTTTAAATAAATGCATTTAAATAAATGGCCTTATTTAATTTGAATATTAAATGATGTGGTGATACATTGATGATTTCTGTCTGTTAAAACCAGGTTTCAGAATATAATTCAATTTTTCCAAATTTGAGAAAAATTATCAATATAGGGTTGTAGTTAATTAGCTCTCAAAAGAGCATACCTTTATTCTACCATGGGAAGAATTATCAAAGTGCCCAGAGAAAGAATTCAGATATTATACTGTTAAAGTTAAGAAAGGGTAAAATTTTATATTAATGTGTCATTCTTGTTATTTGAAGAATTCTGCCTTTGAGGTGACTATATTAATAAAAAAAGAGGTTGCTTTATATTTATTTATATAGGGGCTCAAAATCTGCAAATTTATTTCCTTACTTTTGTCATTTGATCTTTGGGACAACTGTATGATATAGGAGGATAGAGTGTGAAAATTATTTATTTCCAGATGAGAAAATCCAGGCTTAGAGAAGTCTGATCAGAGAAGAGCTACTAAAGGTTATATTTAGAGATTCTAAGGGTTGGGCCCAGAACCTCAAATCTGGCCTTTTGATTCAAAACCAATACTCATTTCATTTATAATCTGAAGACAGGTTATAAATCTGAGGTGGCAAATAGCATCCACTTTGCATGCCAAACCTGATAAATTGGGAAGTATGCTTGAGATGAGCCCTGAAGGACATACAGGACACAGTCGGATGCACCTAGGGCACTTCAGGTGAGGATGACCATATAGATACAGGCCCAGTGATATAACACTTATAAGACATTTACGGGTCTCCAAGTATTTCTCTTTAAACTGAAAATGCTTCTTATTTAAGATTGTTTTTATTGCCTTCTGACTCTTCAATGGAAAATCCTCCTCTGATTGTGCCAAGCTTCTTTGAGCCTCACCATGGCTCACTACAGCTGGGTCTCCACAGTCATGTCAGGCCTCTGGATCATTTATTCAGAGTTACTGCCAGGTTAACCCAGTGGCAGTTAATTGATGTGTCTTTCTAGAAGTTTGTTCTGGATAATTAGAGAAAGATTTCATCATGCCCAGTGTCTGACTATGAAATATTTTCTGATTCTATACCAACATTATGAACAGAATAAACAATCTACCTTGGTAATGAGGTTAAATACGTTGCTATTTAATTAAAAGATTTTGGAGATTTAAAAAATTCTCATTTAATAATTTATGATCATTGTGACTCTGATGAAAATTAATATAATAATTATAGCGAAAATTATTTTGCCTTTGCTATGTTTCATGAACTATCTTAATCACTTTTCAAGAACTCCTATATTACTTGTAATCCTTACAATAACATACTTATCTCCATTTTATAAATGAGATAAATGAAGCCTGGAGATGTTAGTAACTTGATAAAGTCACAAAATCACTAAGAGATGGAACAAGATTGCAAACTCATGTCTTTTTTTTTCCAGATGTATTTTTAACTATCACCCCCTTTTTTTAAAATCATAGCTGCTCAACTTTGAAGGCAAAATGAGGGAAGCAGAGAGGAAAAAGAAAGTCCCCTTAAAATATATAGATATTTAAAAAATGGAAAGTATTTGCTAAATATGCATCATACTTACTACCACATGTACACATGTCAATTCGGTTTCATTATATTCAGACTATTTTTCTCATTATTTCTTCCAGCAACCTTGCTTTTAATAATGCCATTTTATATTCTGACTCAAGAGTGTTTGTGAAATCCTGCTCCCAAATCAGTTTTCTAAGCCTTGTTTTCCATAAGGACACTCTGAACCTGTCTTGATTTTTGGTAAAAGCAAAAACAAACAAACAAAAAAACACTGGACTCCATAAGCTTATGTACTCACACTCCCTTTGAGGCTTTTTCTAAGGCTCGATGCTGTTTTCATAATAATAGCTGTTGATTTGTTTTTCTACCAATAGCTGATTTCCTTGGATTTCCAGAATATGGCATAAAAGAACATTACCAGTATGGCAAATTTTCTGGTCAGCATTCAGACTTGTTCCTCCTGTGAATATCTTCCACTGCATGTGGGGTTAGCCTAAGGGAGGAAGATGTATCTAAGAGTTATAGTGATGCAGAATCACTGACAAATCTATTTCTGCGAAGACAGAAAGTAGGACTTCCAATGGATGATTATCAGATGGTTATCTGAGAGATTTTGACTATGTTCTAATCTTGATGAGCAGAAAGTTGCTCAAGATAATAGAACCATTTGTCTCATACTCCTTGTCCTGGAATAAACATACTGATTGCTTTGGAGTATTAGATTCGATATAAGTGAAATGCTTACCCAGAGTACCTATCACAAAGTATGTGACAAAAAGTTCACTCCATTATCTTTCGTTATTTCTTTAATAAAACCACATGAATCATTACTTTCTTTCTTGGGAAACTCGTGCAGTAGCTCTCATACAGAGACTATTTGCAAATACCATCCTGCTTTACTCCTGTCTTTGGGCCTATCTAAATTTTGGTCTTGAGTTCTATCAATTTCAACATTATCATGCAATTTTAATAAACTAAACTTTAAGAGTGCTTCATGAAAATAGGTTATTATATACCATATGTAGCGATGTTAACTTCCTCTTGTCCTGAGAACTCCTTCTTACCTTAATTTTAAGAGTAGAGTGATAAACACTAAGAAAGGCATTGACAAAGGAAAGAAAAATGAATTCTTTCTGATTTGCTACCTTTTGGTTTAGGGCATATCCAACAAGCCATTTTCCAAGTGTTTATTAAATCAAGCAAAACAGTGTTTTTCACATGTCTTAGTCCTACTAGAATCAAATCAATTCAAAATAGGTGAGGAGGGGAAGTGTGCAAATCACAATTTACATTGAGAAATTGATTCCTTTCCCCAAATGAAACCACGCTCCCTGTCAGAGTGCAGGAACATCAAAGCAACTATGAACAATAAAAATAAGACAGGGGGTTTTAAATGGAAACTGAACTTTCAATGCTTAGTTTATGGTGTACAGGATGTTATTTTGGTGTAAAAACAGTCTTTTTAAATATTTTCACATCAGAATAAATTAGTGATTTTATTAATGTTTATTGTTCTTTAGAATGACAATGATTATATATTCTTACTGTGTTATCTTTCACAGATCTTTAAGTCTGTTAAAGGAAAATAAAGAAGTTTTAAATTAGTTCTGGGTTTTGTTTTGTTGTTTGGTTTGGATATTTTACAAGAAAAATGCCTAACTAATCTTATGGGGTTACAGACTCACTGATTTTAGCCAAGCCCAAGGCTTCGTTATGAAGTTTGTGGCCCAGAATAGTCAAGTGTGGTCTTTCCAGGCTTATGCCTTATTGATTTGACCTTCTGATGTATAATTTATAAATAAGTTGTATAATCTAAATTCCAAATGAAGACTGGATAATCATGTCCAGTCATCATTCTTATTTCTAAATTGCAGCTTAAGCATGAGAGTTCGAGAAAAATTATGTTATGTCTTATGACATTTTATGTAATGAAAAATGATTCATGTACTCTATATTGAAAAAATTAGTTTTCATGATTTATTTTGGTGAAATGAGTCTTGGTGTGACTGCAATGGTAAAAGTAAGAAACTGCGTTAAAGTTCATATTACTGATTTGGGCACATTGTTTGTTAATCTGCATTAGTAAATAAAAAAAGATCTAGTCTTTGGTTGAATGGGTTTTGGTCAAGAAAATAGATATGTAATGTAAAACTTTATATGCTATATTAATTTGGTGTGACCAGGTGTGAGCATAAACATGGAAAAATAATTTTTCAAGAGTTAAAGTGGCATTTGAGAATATTGTATGAAGGCCTATAGGAATTATGAGAAATCATCAAGAGATTATACCTTCACACCATAGAAGTTTCAGAAGAAGAAAAGGGAAAGGGGCCGGAAAGAAATGGTTGAAAATCTCGATAATCTGTGGACAGATGCCAATAACTAGGTAGAAGAACCACATAGGTCTCCAATAAAATTCAAGCCAAAGAGGAGTGCATCAAGACAGATAATAATCAAGCTAACAAAATCAAAAACAGAGAAAAAAAATCTGACAGTAGTATAAGATAAGAAACATCACATACAAAGGTGTAACAATGCAATTGTCAATGGATTTCTCAGTAGAAACCCTGCAGGGCAGGAGAGAGTGGGATGGTACATTCAAAGTGCCGACAAAAAATCCTGCCAAGCAATAATACTTTTCTCAGCAAAGCTGTCTTTCAGAAATCAGGGAGAAATAAAAGCTTTCCTGGAAAAGCAAAAGCTAAGGGAGTTCATCACCACTATACTTGCTTTCTAGAAATTGCTAACAGGAGTTCTTTAAGCTGAAACAAAAATATAATAATTAATAACATGAAACTGCAAAATCACAAAACTAAAGATATAAATAAAACAGGGCTATATTCAGAATACTCTAGACTATAATAATGATGTGTAAGGCAATTTTATCCCCAGTA